CGGTTACAACAGTTTCATTGTTCCCAGTCGTAGCACAACGCCAGAACCCAACAATAGCTATCTCATGCCCGGCTTTTGTTTCGCTCGTCGTCTCCGGGAGCATACTGGGCAGAAGGCATTCCCTCGACAGCGTACTTTTGTTGGACGAGCTACATCCGCCATGTTTAATCGTAACGTTAGCAAATGCACTCCTTCACTATGCAATGGCAATGTCGACTAGGGAGCGTTCGTGCACCCCGCCGCCATCATCACGGTCGGGTACATACGCTGCTAGCTGTGGAGGAGCGACCGAAAGCGCGACTCTCGCAACGCCTCGGGGTTCTACATCATGGGATAAAATGGCATCCAATTTCCCATCCAAATGTACCTCGGCACAAGGGTACATAAATTCAATTGAATTTATGTACCCTTGCTCGGCAAAGCACACGATCACGCGGCTGCGCTCTCGATCATATCAAGCGTCACAGTGGCAACCGTGAGGCCGATGGAAAAGGCGCCCGGGATCACAACGCCTATACAAACACATCTCATCATCAGCCACCGAGCTTTGGAGGAATACTCGGTAGGACGCAATCGCTGGTTCCTGCGATGGCGGCGGCGACCTTCAAGTTGGCAGCTGCAAACGGAATGTGACGGCGAATGCCGTACAAGTAGCTACATAGCAAACTATCTCTCAAAGAAGAGACATGCTAGAGTATGCTCGTACAGAGATCGAGGAGCGTCAGAATAACACCAAACGCTGCGACAATGGACACGTTCAAGAGCAGACCGACGACAGCGATGCTGACAAGGGCTGCCAAGTCGAAGCTACAGCACCACGTCCGACAAGGCAATATTTACATGGACATCTACAGCAAAATGCACACGATGATGGAGGTCGGGAAGAAGAGCACGAGCAGCATGAAAGCTGCAATTCCGCTCGCGAGGCATGAGAGCGCAACCAGCAACCCGCAGCCAGTGGCCGGCGGCGGTGTGGCTGCAAGGGACGCGATCTTGCCGTATGTCTTCTTGTCCATCGTCGGCTCGGGCGACACGGGTGGGTGATTCATGTGCATCGATTTCGGTGGGTATCGCACACGACTGATCTGTAGAGGCCGCGGCTGCATCGGTTTCGCATCGGTCGGCTCACTGGTGTCTGAAATAGGCAACATCCCTACCCCATAAGTTGCGCTCCATTTTGCTTTGCCATCGGTTTCGGATTTTGAATTGGAAATACTTGCTGCTTACGAGCAAATGTGGCTTCAAGGGTTATATTTAGAGAGATGTGAGCCCTAACCCCACGTCCCTTTCCACGCGACGGTTCGGCACCACTGCAAAGAATATACACACTCGATCCACGGACCAAAAACGACACTGCCCTGAACGATACGAGAACCCAGACTGCAAATTGCCTCGCCTCGAACACCATGAAACTTCTTTGCGCTGCGACGATGGCGCTCCTGCTGGCGACGTCCGCGACCGCCGCGTCTTGCACGACGGACCAAGATACGACGATCAAGAATTGCTTGGCGGCCAACGTCTCGACCCCGTGCACTGCGAGCAGGTCCAGCTGGCAAAGCCCGATGACGTTCGCGGAAGGACTCAACTACTAAAAAATCCTCATGTGCCGGCCGCCGTGCAAGGACGACCTGCAGAGTCTCACGAGCAGAATCTCAGAGTGCGCCGATGACGCCGGAACATTCGCCAAGGTCGTCCAACAAAATCAAGTGTGCACCGACATGAAGCGCCCAACGACCAACGGTGGTGCGTGCACGGCGGCCGACGTGATATTATCCTACGGATTGCGGTACGAAGAACCGGTGTGGCTCAACTGCTCCAGTGTCAAGAACACATACTTGGACGACCTTCGAGCTTACACAACTGAAAACGCCAAGGCGCTGTGTGGGTCCGCCACCTGCACGGCTTTTTTCAACTCAATGACCAAGGTGATGCCCAACTGCGTCGACACGTACGGGGACAATACGATGGACGAATTCCGACATCGGTATGGGTGCATGCCTGCAGCAGTCGGGACCAATTGCTCCATGGTGGATATGGCCGTCAAGCACGATGCATATAATGCGTACCTTTGGTACAACTGCTCGAACTTTCTCAACGCTTCTTATCTTGCGATGTTCAGTGACCTCGAGTACAGTCTTTCTCTTATCAAGACACCAGAAGACGCGCCATCGGGCTTTTGCACGTCGGCCTGCCCAGCAAACTACTTGTGGATGAAAAAGACGCTTCCATCCTGCACCTATATCTATGGTGGTGAGATGTTGTCCGACCCAAGTCCTCTCTACCGCATCTGCCCCAGCCTAAAGCCCGCTCCGACACCAACTCCGACGCCCGCGCCAGCTCTGACGTGTCCGCTTCCCGGCTCGTACCGTGCGACAGGGATGCGTATGGACCTTGCCAACTCTGGTGCGTTCACCGAGTCGCACGATGGCAGCGACAGCACGTGCTCGACGACGGGAACGTATGCGATCTCGGGTCCAATGGCAACGTTCACCGTGTCGACCGTCTCGGGTGTCTGCGGCAGCGCCTTTACGCCCAACGCAAAGCTCTCGGGCCCCATTTCGCTCTCCACCGACTGCAACCAACTCACACTCAGCTACACGGGCACCACATCGACGCTGCAGCGAACATCCAACGCAGAGACCGCGGCCACGAGTGCGATGCTGCTTCTTGGCGTTTTCCTCGCGTGGGGGGCGCTCTAAGCGGCCGAAGGGGTGGCTCTAGCATAGTTGATTATCATATATAAGACTGAAAAATACACTGGATTTGCACGTTAAACATCGCGTTCGATGCCACGAGAACTCACTTTCACATGTCTGCGCATACGCAAGTCGAGTCATTTACAAGAGACACCCAGAGAAAAACGGCTGCCCGAAATCGGATCAATCCACAGACCTATCTTCCCATCTATCCATTATCTACCGGTATCTTGTAGAGGGTCGATCCTGGGGTCGGTGCTGGTGAAACGCCCGTTGGGCTGCCACGTGGGTTTCGGCGGGCAATGTCGCCATTTGATTGGCTCCCGCATTCTACTCTAGCTGATTGGCCAATATACTCGACACCCGCGCCGTGCGATTGGGCGACGTGTTCATTCGCCAACACGGTGACCGAGCGCATGGTTCCCTCGCCCAGGATCAAGCTCGAGCGTGGCCTCGACGAGCGCTTCGCCTACGATGACAATGAGAACAGCAACATGGAGACGCTCCTCGCTGCGCCGGTCTTGGCCGACACGACGCTCGCCGGCTTGGCGGCCTTCGGCGACGCTCGCGCGCGCTACGAGGTCGCGTGCGAAGCCAAGGCATGTGTGCAGACGCGGCAGTCGATCCTAGCGACGATCGCGCCGCCGACATTGCGGTTCCTCGCGCAATACAAGATGTGCATGGCCGAGGCAGCGATCACCGACGCCGACATCCTCGCCTGGATCGAGCGCGAGCTGGCAGAGACGACGCCATCGTCGATCGAGGCCGTCGTGCAGCACTGCCGCGTGCACCTCGTCATGGACATGCGCATTCCCGACGCCCGCGCGCGCGTCGCAAGGTACTTTATGCGCGCCAACGAGATGGCCACCAACTTTCACTTCGCCGGTGTCAACCTCTTTTGCGCCATGCTGGTCGAAGGCGTGCGACCACGCGCGCTGCGCCGCGACGTCGAGCTCCTTCTGCACGTCCCATCGAACGCTCACGCCAAGTGCGACGACCGGCGTCTCTTTGACCTCGTGGAATCCTGCGCTATCGCGCACGAAGCACGTTTTCCATGGCGCCGCCGCCGCCGCCGCAACGTGCCAGGACGCAGCGTCCAGCTGTTGCGCACCGCCGACGACGCAGCGTGGCGGTCACCCGACGTGCGTTTTCTGTAGCTCCATGACCGATGTTCTTAATGTTGCATTTTCTACCCACGACCTGGATTGTACTACATCCTTTCCGTGACATGCCTCTTTGATGGAAATATCGTCCTCGACAAGGTCGTTGGTGTCGTCTACTTGGACCAAGATTCATTCCACACAGGCCACGTAGACGGAAGCTATGCGCCCCTGCGTCAATGGTTGAGGTATTCTGTTCAAGGCGGCTGCGCCGTCCGCATTTTGGGTCGTTGGCGTCGCATTCTCGTCCTCTTCGTGCGGCTTGGTTTCGTGAGACATGCGACAGGTCGATGCGATGGACCACGCACACTAGTGCCGAGCCTGTCATCGACGGCTTGCACTCCTCCGTCGGGTGGTCCGAGTACAGGAGCCTGCGTACGACCTCGAGCGAGCTATCATTCGGCGAGTGGGGTCAACCACGGGATGGATCTCTCCGTGTCCAGATCACTTCCAACGACCAAGTGCTGGTGCCAACTCCCATGCATTCAGGCGTAGCACTACGTATGCGAAGTTTTTGAGTTAGTTTTGTGCTAATTTGATTTCAACGCGAACTCGTTTAATTGATTGATTGATTGTCATTTTGGTCGCTCGCTTCACAAGGCGTCCATAAAGTAAGGCAAGACAAGGTCCGAACTGTACCGCCGCGCGTGTCACGGATGCGGACACGTTGACGCGAACGGTCGTGGCATTGCATCGCTCCACAGCGCGGAATTCGACATGAAGGTACATGGTAGTACTACGTATTATTTAATGGAAAGCGTGCTACTCTGCGAGGCCAAGTAGACTGCAATGGGGTCGGCGCATGTGGTGGCGGTCATTGCGCGTTTGCGTGGGACCGCTCTCGGCCAGAGAAAGATGCCGTGGTGAAACACTTGTCGGAGCAGCAAGACAAAGTCGGTGTCTGCAATCACCTTGTTGACATAGAGCATGCGCGTCTCTTTCAAAAGCAGGCAGAGGTGGCCCACTAGTGTACCAATTGGTTGTGCAAAATTGTCCTAAAATGATAGTAATTACGTACGCGATGGCTCGGCCTCGAGGGAAAGGCGGCAGTGGCGCTGGACGAAATACAGGCCCGCGGCGAGTAGTTGTCGCAAGACGTGAATGTTGCGGACACTTGGCCGCGCGGCCTGGAGCTGGAAACAAATGCGTTTCTGGGTTCGAAGCACGGGCGTCCACCGCCGGAAGCGCACCAAGTCGCACGCTGGTGGCGCGTCAAACGTGCTTGGTCGACGCAAGCCAAAGAGGTCGCAGAGAAAACCGAGTTGCGCCTACCGTGTTCCGCACCAAC